GTACTCAAGACACTGTAGTTGCTCTCTCACTCTATATAGATATATTAAGTATTCTCAAATTGATCTCATCAGTTCTGTGAAACGAAATGTATACCTTATCTCAGTATTCATTCAAGTGTTCTTCAATAATCTTTGAACTGTTGAGAAATTTTTTTCTAAACAGATTGGGAAAGTATCAGACGATTAGAGAAGTACATCTTTCAAGTTATCTTTAGGAAAAGAAAAAGGTGATCTGTGGCCTGATGGGACACTTCACAAGAAGATACAAAAGCAAATTACTAAACAATCAACATAAAAATGGTAAATACTAACAAAGAAGATAAAGCAATAAAAGAGCCTACATGGACCTGTCTCGAATAAATTATTCAATTCAATCTAATATCCGTCTCTGACAGGGGCACCTGGCTTAATAAAAATAGAGAACCAGCTGATGTGATGCATTTTGATATGATCTCATAAAGCATTCTTTTAGGAAATAATAGCGGCACATTCTAGATTGGCGCACAGCTAACTGAAAAACTGTAATGAAGTGGTCCTCAGCGATTCAGTGTCAAAATGAAAAGAGATTTTCAAATATGGTCCTGCAGGGCTCTGTCCAGAGCAAGCTCTATTCAGTATTTTCATTAATTAATTGAATGATGAAAGACAGTGTGCACTTATAACAGTTGCAGATGATGCCAAGTTGGAAGAGTTGGCAGGAGTGTTGGAGGACACAATCTGAATTCAAAAGTTGAATCTCACCAAGTAGAAAAATTGTAAGAAAACAATAACCTGAAATTCAGAAACATATGCAAAATACTATGTTTAGAGAGAACTTTTTATACATACATACATATATACATGTATTTATATACATATGTAGCCCCCCAGACAAAACTGAGAACTTCTGTTGATCTAGAAATAATGTATTAAGGGATCCAGAGTTTATAACAGACCACAAACCAAATAAATCAAAATGGGATGGTTACAAAACAAGACAAATCTCATCCCAACATTCAGAATGTAGGTCACATATAAAGTGATAGCAATTATTCCATTTTATTGCCCATGTGTCAGCTGGGGTCATAATGAACATCATTGATGAAGCAATATATGATGAAACTGAAGCAAGTTTAGAGGAGAACAACTCAGCCACCAGATATTTAGAAAACACAAGCAAAATCTGAAAAGAACCAGATTCTTTTGCTTAGAAATCAGACCCCAAAACAGTTACAGAAGTTATCTTCCATGGTATGCAAATAAAAACCAGCATTTTAATTTTCAGTAGAGAGAGCAATGAAGTTGCCCCTTAGCCTTCTTTTCTCCAGAATAGACAGACCCAGGGTCCTCAGCCACCCCTCACAGTTCATGCCTTCCACCCCTTTTTTGCCCTCCTATGGACACATTCAAGTCCCTTCACATCCTTCTTAAACAGTGGTGCCCAGAACTGCACACAGGTCTCAATGTGAGGCTGCACCAACACTGAATACAGTGGGACAGTTCCCTCCTTTGCCCGACTGATTGTGCTGTGTTTGGTGCACCCCAGGATGGGGTTTGTCCCCTTGGCTGCCAGGACACACTGCTGACTGGTGCTGAGCCTGCTGTGACCAGCACCTCGAGGTCGCTTTCTGCAGGGCTGCTCTCCAGCTGGTTAAACAAGGCTTTCTCTTAGTGAACCTGCATTGATTGTGCCTAATGATTGCACTGTCCTTTAAATCCCTTTCAGTAGTACCCAGTATAACCTTCTCCATAACTTCTAGAGAAACTGAGGCTAGACTAATAGGTCTGTAGTTTCCTGGGTCTTCTCTCACACCCTTCATGAAAATTCAAATAACATTGGCTAGCTTGCAGACAGTGGGACCTCCCCAGATACCCAAGACCCTTGGAAGATAATGAAGAGGGTCCTGCCGTAATGTCCTCTAGATCCTTCAGTACTTTGGGATAAATCCCATCAGGCCCCAAGAACTTGTGAACATTCAGCTGATACAGCTGGTACCTTACAATTTCAGCGTCCAGTTATGCAGAGTTTTGGAGAATCCATAAATACAGAAACATTCTATGCAAGCAAACTAATACTAGATATTCTAAGTTACCTTTTTTATGTGACATATTTCATTTGACTATATTATATATATGCCCAGGGAAGTTGTGGATGCCTCCTCCCTGGAAGTGTTCAAGGCCAGGTTGGACAGGGCTTTGGGCAACCTGGTCTGGTGGGAGGTGTCCCTGCCCATGGCAGGGGTTGGACTGGATGAGCTTTAAGGTCACTTCCAACCTAAACCATTCTCTGATTCTATGATTCTATGATACTTTCAGATGACCGTGACAAACTAAGAAGCTGTACTTCCTCAGCAGTGGTTCAGACAGCTGTTCACACTATCCATGTCTTACGAGTTAAAAATAACTTACCTCACTCCAGTTGCCTACTATCCAGTAGGCATTACCAGGCAAACTGTTGGATGTTATTAGGAGGCTGTTTTCTGTGACATTCGTTAAAACACCATCAGATGTTGGACTTTGGTTACTTGGTATGTGACCAAACACTGTGGGCATTACTGTAACTGATGCTTGTGGAGTAGTCACTTCTACAACAGGCACATTAACTTGCAGACTGATATAATTTGCTGTGGTTGGAAATGCCAACCCTTGTGCTGCTCTGCTGACAGGAACGAACGTAGAAGGGTCGAGGTGATGAGATTCTGAAGGGGGATGAGAAGTCACACTCTCATTGGGAAGGACAGCAAAGCCGGTATCTAGGGTTGTGGTCCTGGTTCTGATTTCGGGATTGGGTTCTGTGCTGTAAAGGAGATCAACCGGTTTCTCACTGCCTTCCACTGACCCATCAATGTCATCAGATTCTTCAGTTAAGTAATCATAGCTGGAAGTTATTTCTGGGCTACTGGTAAATGAGGAGACAGGAGTGTCCTCACTTCTTTGCACCTCACTCTCTACAGTAGAAATTAGCTCACTTTCAGAAATATTTTCAGCATGCCTTATGATTTCAGTATTTAAGCTATTATGAAAAGGCCATGAAGCAGTACTTTGGTGTGAACTATTTTCAGTAGAAACAACTGGATAACTGTAAACATCACTTGGTGCAGCAAAATTATTGTGTAATGTTTTGTTGGCTGCTCCTTCTTTTCCTGAGACATTACTCAAACCAGAGGACGTAGGCAAACAGGGAGTTACACTTTCAGGCTTGGGTACTTCTGCTGTTGTGTCAGACCTTGGGCTTGGTGTGGGTATTCTATGAGATGGACTCAGTGTGGGATTAGCAGTTGTTTTTCTGATTATGATCTTTCCTCTTCTGGGTGCCAGTGGGGGTATCAGAAATCTTCCAGCAGAAGGACATTGCTGGAGACCACACAGGGCCTTAGAGTTTGGTCTCTTGGAAATATCACATGGCTCATCATTATTTTTGGCACAAGTGACTTTACGTGTCCTTATACCACCACCACAAGTTACTGTGCACTGCAAACAAAACAGAATTAATGTATCACATATCGATAAAAATCAGTATCAAATGCCATCTGCTTATAATAAAGAAGCATTATTATAAATAATCAATAACAAAGCTTTCCCTGAGGAACAAGCCCTGCATTTTAGTGATGCCCTGCTATCACAGAGCTCTTTTCAAATTTTTAGAACAGTAAATGTCAACCTGGGGAAACAGCAGTGAAAAAAGACTACATGATAAAGAGAAAACATGAAATACTAGAATTTGATTTCTACAGTGAATCACAAAAGTTGTCTAGCCAATACCTTTTCCACCAGGGTTATAAATAACAGAATTAAAACTTGCCATCAAAAACATACCTGACTGGCTCAGTGCCACAAACCCACTGTGATCATCCATGCAGCTCACAGATCCTTATTAACTTTATGAAATGGATTTTTTACTGAGTCTTAGTGCAACCACCATGTGCTGCCACGGCTGCTACATGTCTTTCCTAAATTACAGAGTACTGAAAGTAATTAAATTAACTGGCTTCTATGACAAGCAGCTGAGGGAACTGGGGTTGTTTTGCCTGGTGAAGAGGAGGCTGAGGGGAGACCTTATCACCCTCTACAACTGCCTGAATGGAGGGTGTGGAGAGGTGGTGGTCAAACCCTTCTCCCAAGTCACAAAAGACAGGATGAGAGGAAATGGCCTCAGGTTGCACCGTGGAAGCTTTAGATAGGATATTAAGGAATTTTTTTTCACCAAAAGACTGGTCAAGCATTGGAACAGGCTGCCTGGGGAAGTGGTGGAGTCACCATCCCTGCAGGTATTTAAAAGACAGGTAGATGAGGTGCTTAGGAACATGGTTTAGTGGTGGAGTTTGCAGTGGTTGGACTCAACGATTTTGAAGGTCTTTTCCAACCTAAACAATTCTATGATTCTATTTAAATGGGAGCACTGTTTTATATAAAGGGTGCTGGAAACTATGGAAACTCAGTTTTTCCATTACGTTTTCCATCCTCAGCCCCACAGGCACAGCCATGCCTTCAGCAGCTGTCACTCCACTGGGGAATTTCTGAAATTTCAAGACACTTCTCCGGTTTCAGGTGCTAAGGCTGGATGGCCAGTTTGGTATGAATGGAGATGTTACATACTGGAGGAAGTCTTCCTAGGATGTGAGGGATCTTGACCAGCTAATTCAGCTGGCTTAAACCAGGTGCACAACTTGAAGTCATGAACGCTGCTGTTGCCAGCATTTTAAAGCCCCTGGGATATCTAACCCTTTTTAGAGCTAGTCTATGCCGTGGGGCAGTAGATACACCAGTGACCTTGTGTTACTGGGGTGCTCTCTGTTGGTAACACCTGTGAAATAAAATCATCTCTGCAGCAACAGAAGCAGGGAGGAAAACAGAGTAACCTCAGCATAGATAAGTTCAGCAGCTGTTCTCTGTCTTCCCTGCACTTCCAGCTGAATAACACACGTAAAGTATGTAGAGCTATGCAAGTTTATATTCAGCTGCATTTTGACCTCTTGAAGTAATTCAGTAAAGGATTTTGCTTGTTGAGGAAGACAGCAACTACTAACGCTATGTTCATGCTTTACAGAAATACAACTCACTTATTTTGTCAGACTTTGCCACTTGGATGATTTACATTAGCATTCGTGTGAGTTAAAAGGAATATCCAACCTCATTAACTTTTTGAGGTAATGGCTGCCTCCCAGAATTAGGTTTGAAAATCTCTGCTTTAGATTACAGCCATTTACTAAAAAGGGATTTCAGAATGTCTATAACACTCTATCCTCATTATGTGCCTAATTAAGTATGTTCAGTTTATAAGCCAGATAAATTCATAGCAAAAGGAAGTTCTGCTTGTATAAAGTCTCTCCCTTACATTCACCAAGAAAGAAAATTCTGCAGTTGTAAGTCTCTTGACAATTTTGTCCTTTGTGCAGGAGAAATAGTCTGTCCTACACTCCCTCTTCAATTTCTACAGGTTTAGAAAAGTATTTGTGTCAGTAACTTGCAAATATAATCCAAAAACACAAAAGCACAGGCTGTATTCTGTAACAGCATGCCATTTCTATATAATTGTACTTCTAGCCATATACTTTCAGTCTGTTTTTCCACAGGCAGTTAAAACAAGGGGGCTACTCAATTCACAAAACAATCAGCATTCAGTGATGATAGTTTGTGAGCAGCATAAACTGAATTAATACTGTCACAAATTTGAATTAGTTCATTATCTGAATCTGCTCTCAAACACAACAATGAGTTTGGTTAAAGAAAAGTTAGGAGAAAGAAGGAATGTTTTGAAAGTTTTGAAAAACTCAGTGAACTTCATTTTTATTGACAGCTGAAGTGGAAAATATTTGCTATGCATTTGTTGTCATGATCGTCAGCTACACTGATGGCTAAACTCCCTATCTGTGAGGTTAGGCATGAGCAAAGTCTTACTGTAACAGAATCAGAACAAAACAATTTTAAAATTACACAACTCATAACCTGCTTTCTCCCCCCACAGCAGAAATATCTTAGTGCATTTTTTATTTTCATGAAGAAGTTGATTCCTCCACACCCTGGGTACCCTGAAGTCTCCTTGGCTTCAGTGGAAAGTGAAGTTGTGAAGCAGCTGCAGATACCAGCATTCTAACCTAAAGAAAGCTAAGAAGCACGAGGTCCTTCCACAGATTAAAACCTATGACAATGCACATTGAATGAGTGCTCCCTGTTAATACTAACAAATATTGCAGAAAATGTCACAGTATATTTAAACAAATACACTATACTGCAGTCATCATTTTGATGACCTCACATTCTGCAGTTAATCAGTGGCCAGTGAAATAACTGCACAATATTTAATTAACTCTTGAAGGATGCACTGACATTCCAGTTTTTGTCAGGGCTTCAAACTAATACTAGAAGTAAAAAGCTTGCATGCTGTGGCAAAACCAGCAGACAGTTATGAATGCAAGAGATATGTATTTGTGCCTATAGATATAACACAGAGCCTCTCCACATCTGGTCCAGAGCAGTAATGAGTATTGTACAGATGTTTGAGCATGCAAACATGCTTTGTTCTGCAGTCCCAAAAACTCAGCAAGCCCAACCCCTAACATTCAACACTTGCTGTGGTCTTTAGCAAGCAGTGCAGCTATTTTTCCTCTGCACAAAGGACTTGTGAAGACACGTTAACAAAAAAAAATTTAAAAGGGCAAAAAAGCAGGTCATTGGTCCTCTCTGCTGAGTATTCCATGAGTATCTCCATTTCGATAAAACGTTCAATATTGAGTTGTCATGAATTTACCTCAGTCCAGTTGCTCACTGTCCAGTCGGATGGGCACAAGACATCTCTGTTGCATGACAGATGCGTCTTTGGTTTGAGCAGGTGCTGGCACTCTGTGGCCGCCAGTGCCTGCTCATCAGACCCCACCGTCTGAATGCAAAGCACAGTTCGCTTCTTCTGTCCTGTTGGGCCACACGTGGTTGAACATTTCTGCCATTCTCCTGCCCACCACCTGAAAAACATGGGGGTAAGAAGCATTATCAGAACACAATCCATCACAAGCACATTAAGGAAAAGGTCAGAGACCACAGGATCAAGCATCAGTAATTTCAATTCTGGGTTCAGATATATGCTTTTCATATTAAAGCCAGATCACTCAAGCTTTTCCATCTGTCTTGTGCTGTAGTACAAGCCAGTCACTGACAGACACCCATTTCCAGACAGCTGTAACCACTGAGTGTTATGTTTCTACAACACATAAGATTCCACCAAGTAGATAACTTTATGAATCCAGATTTGAAGAACTACTAGGACGTTCATGAAGGAAGTTACACTATCCTACTGCTTCTCTGCATGTTGTTACCTCAGAACAGAAAGTACAGTACACATAAGAATCATCAGAGGGTCTGTAATTACAGCATGGAGGTGAGAAATGTCTCCTCACACACGTCTAAGCCAGTACTCAAACTGGCGCTGTGTTGCCTCCAGGAGGGGAAGCAGCAAGGCACACATCCCCAAAAGACCAGGCTGCTCAGAGCTTAGTCTTTCCCCAGCTTCATTCACCTACTTCTCATGCTGACCCAGAGTGGGTCAAATATCCACACAACTGCCCTCTGTGATAAGAAGGAGGGCAAATGTTTCTGGGTTTCTACTTGAGAAGCACTGGCATTAACTGTGAATCATGCCACTTGCCTAAAGATTTACCTTTATGCTTTTTTTAAAAAAAAAGTCTTTTTCCTTCCAGTTTAGAGTGCCCTAGGGAAGAATGTCGCTCCAAACTGCTGTATAAGAAATGTGGCCCAGTTGTGAACTCTAAGCAACAAAAGCTCCAAGACAATATTACTTGCTCCTGAGCTTTAAAGCAGGTCATTACCTGCTTTACAAAGCCTTACACTGAAAACAAAACAAGGATATATTTAGAAAACACATTTCAAGACAGAAAGATGGAAAAATTTGGTTTTGACTTACAACTAATATAATTCTATTTTTTTTCCTTTTAAGACCAGTGAACTTAGAGCAAAATACTCCCATTCTGATAAATACATCAAAGTTCAATGTCCTGTGTTATTACAGTTTTTACTCTTATCTTGCTGACAATCCCTCTTCCCTTTCCTCTGTAGTTTCCATGTTCCTTCTCTGCTTCGTGACTAATTTATTCTCAATTGCAAATGAGCTGTCACTGGTGTGGAAGGCACTGATATCTGTTCCTAATAATTTAAAATGAAAAATAATAATAATAAAAAAAAGACTCAGAGCAATCAAGCTATACACACAGCTCACTTGTGCAACCATCCGACCTCCTCTGGGGTACCTACACCTTCCTTCTCTTTAGTTATGTATACATATTGCATTCTCTTTTAAGTAATTCTGCAAGCGCTTTGGGGCACAGACTGTTTTGCTACATGCTGTAGAGTGCAGTCCATTGCCGCCACAACCCTGCATGAGGCCTCTGGACATTGCTGTCATAACAAATTATTTTTCTCTTTCTGTCTCTCTTTGGACTGTTTCTTGCTATTCCAGGCTTCTGCAGAAAAGAAAGGAAAAGTAACAAGCAGGTAAAGAGAAAAAGTGAGTGCACCTCATTGGAACACAGCAACAAAAAAAGAGAAAAATATGTTATCATAACATGCATCAAGCCATTTCAAGGTTGTTTTCAACCCTTGCATCTTCTTTCCAATTTTATAATCTCTAGTATTTTGTAAATTGCTGACACTTTGGCACAAATGCAACTTGAAGTATGTGAATTGCTCTATTAATTTTAATGGAACCAGATCACATATTTCAAGCTACAGGCATGCTAAGCTAACACTTCCTCCTGCAGGTTTAAATACCAAACTCCTAGAAATAAATTACCAGAGCTTACTACAGAACCTATATTGATAAGCAGTAATGGTGTATGACTAATTATCGAATGCAAAACATTTTTAAAATGTCATAGAACAAAGTACAGTGATCCAATGCTAGGAAATCCCAGAACTAAGATTTTATCTTATTGCACCTTCGTGGTCAATCTTAAATTACACTTAGTCATGTAAGTTTTTCTACAGAGTCCTTCTTCATTCAGTGCAGGTAACAGATGGTACTGGCGGCAAAGAAGTTAATTGCCCAGCACCTTGTTTACCTCATACTTTAAAAAAACTTGTTCTGACTCAAAGTTTATTCTTATCAGTAACTGGAGTTTTTGATGGTACATTTTGCATATTTCCATTCTAGGGTACCTGCACGTGCCTTAAACACTCAAGTATGAGAAACTTAACGTGGAAGCACACGCAGTCATCAATTCATGGTACCCACTAAGGACTTCTGAACTGCAGCATCCCAGTGGAAAGGGTAGAAAGCCAAAGCAAGGCCGACAGAACATCTACCATCCACCATCCATTTGTCTGCTGTGGTACAAGATGCCTTGAAGCAGGTCCTACACCACACAGAAGGGAGCAGCACCCAAGTGACTGCTTTCCTGAACCTGACTTATCTTGGAGATTCTGCTGTCTCCTCACACTGCAGACACGTAATTGAAACTGTGACTGCTGAGCACACATCCAGAACTGACAGAGCAATCTGAGATCCAAACATTCAATTTCTAAGTTGAAGCCAAGCTGTCAGACCTCACAGCTAGAAGTCAAAGAGTGCAAACACTGCCAGACAGACAGCTTTGGGCAGGTTATAAACAAGGCTTTCTTTAGATCACACATGCAGAGAGATGCTTGGCAAAGAAATATGGGGAAAAAACTAGTAGGTAGCCATGCTGACTGTGGTGAGAGACTGGAACAAGCTGGTGGAAAGTGAAGCCTGATGGGACCTGCTGTCAGGTACTTGTTCCTACCTCTGGTTTCTGATGGCATTTACCACTAACAGCAACTGAGTGGTTCTTAAATATTCATGCATCATCTGGTCTCTGCAGAGTGACATGTCTGTCTTATCTCCACAGGCAGGCATGGCATGGAAAGACCGTGGGAACAAACAAGCAAGCAAAATGCATTATTTGGGTAATTAATTTCTGTGATCACTAATCTTCCTGAGACTGGTGAACTTGAGAGCAGTCTGTATGGCAAAAGCATAACCTCAATTAGTTTTCAGCTGCAGCTGTGAGTGCTCAGCTTTGCTGCAATCCAGCCTGGGACAGAGGCAGGGGGAAAATCTGATTTCCTCAGGTGGCATTCAGCTGCCTTAAACGAGACTTATCTCTTTTTTTCTGAGTTCCCAAGGTCTGTAACAATTACGGCAAGGCCCAACAGCCTTGTTCATTATACTATCCTCATCTGTACCTAGATGATGTATGCTGAATATAGTGTGGATCCTGTTGAAAAAGTAGCAGCATGGTATTTTAGAACCAAAGTTCATTGTATTAATGCCTAGGCACTGAAAGTTCCATCTCTCCCACCATACTGTGCCACATCTAAAGAAAAACTGTTTTCTATCACTACATATTTGTATAGCATCAGGCACAGCAGATACCAACAGGGCACTGATTTTTCACTCTGTATTATAACAGAAATAAGATTTCCTTTTCTTATTATGCTGTTGGGGTTTACTAAACAGTTTGGAAGCAGGACAGTACCGCAGTAACAGACAAAAAGCAGGAGATCCCAAGCACTTACAAAATAATCTGTTTTATTTTATAATAACTCTATTCAAGTGGGTAGTCAGGTTAAAAAAGCTCCAGGCTATTTTCTTTAAAGGAGAAAGCAAAATTTTTATTCACAACACTATAAATCGTTAAAATCTCACTTTTTTTCTTCAAGTGGTACCTACTGATTTTTATCATTAACACCTATGAAGCTAAATACCTGACTACCAAAGAAACATGTAATTGGGAACCATATTTCATGGCATAGCATGGAAAAAACCACACATTTATGCTACAGTCTTGCTGCACTCCTGCAAAGCAATATTGCTCAAGATTCATATGAGCAGCTGTATGACATTTTAACTCTCAGCTCTTCAGCCATCTTCATTTTGTTCTGAGTGGCATATGTGTATTGTGACACTTTAAATATTTTATTTGTTTTGCTCCAGATTCTTTTAGTAGAAAGTGTGGGAAAAATAAATGTAGACCAAATCAGCTAACAAACAAGAATGTTAAGACTCGTACTTCTCAGAAGCCTGTCATTTAAATGGTTTATAATTAACTTTCTGAAATGGATTAATGAGATAAGATCTGGTTCGTGAGAGTCAAAAGCATTACAGTAATGTTATTCCTTGCCAGTAGTTACTGTTTGATAAATTCTCTAATTCTGATTTAGTGGTCTAGGAGCTAGTTGCATGGTAGCATGTTTTCCATCAGTGGGATTTAGCAAATCACAGGAGGGAGGGGTATGCAAGATAACATAGATATCTTGGTTTAGATATTCCTATAAAGAAACTGGCTCACTGTTGGGAAGCATGAGATCATCTAACAGTTTCTGTGCTGCAACTACAACATTAAGCAGGGGTCCCCATCAGTTCTGTTTCATGAGACTGTCCTCAACTCCAGTGCAGAACATAGCCATCTCTTGACAGAACACTTGTTCTTCAGCAGCTACACATGCACTCTCAGTTATGCTGCATCATGTACAGGACAGTCACACCTTCCTCTAGCATTTAGATTTTCTTTAGAACCACTAGATCAACAAACTGCACTATCTCATGGGGTTTAAGTGCCTTCTTCTTCCTCCCCCTCTACTCTGCCCTGGTGAGACCGCATCTGGAATATTGTGTCCAGTTCTGGGCCCCTCAGTTCAAGAAGGACAGGAAACTGCTGGAGAGAGTCCAGCGTAGGGCTACAAAGATGATCAAGGGAGTGGAGCATCTCCCTTATGAGGAGTGGCTGAGGGAGCTGGGTCTCTTTAGTTTGCAGAAGAGGAGACTGAGGGGAGACCTCATTCATGTTTATAAATATATAAAGGGTGAGTGTCATGAGAATGGAGCCAGGCTCTTCTCGGTGACAAACAATGATAGGACAAGAGGTAATGGGCACAAGCTGGAACACAGGAGGTTCCACTTAAATTTGAGAAGAAACTTCTTCTCAGTGAGGGTGACAGAGCACTGGACCAGGCTGCCCAGAGAGGTTGTGGAGTCTCCTTCTCTGGAGACATTCAAAACCCGCCTGGACGCCTTCCTGTGCAACCTCATCTAGGTGTTCCTGCTCCAGCAGGGCGATTTGACTAGATGATCTTTTGAGGTCCCTTCCAATCCCTAACATTCTGTGATTCTGTGGTTCTGTGATTCTGTGATTCTTGCTTTTCAGATGGATATGTGTAACTATCTGTCTGGATTAGAGGTGACACATATGCCATGGAAACTAAATACCAGCTAAATCCCATGCTGGGACTGCAGCCTGGGATGGAGACCAAATCCACAAAAATTAAGGGCTTGGGAAAGGTGGATAGGAACCCATTCTTCACTGCCATCTCTTCCAACAGAACCTAGTGAGAGCCAGTTCAAAATAATTAAAATGAGGTGCTGCTTCACACTGTAGGCATTAAAGCTGTGAAACTTCAGGCAGAGAAAGTTATATATGATAGAAGTTTTACAAGGTCGCAGAGGGAGGCTGGGCAAGTACTTGGAAGAGAGGTCCATTAGAGGTTACCGATTAGACAAGCCATAAAAGTCTCTGGAAATGCCTCAAATTAAAACCAGTTGGAAGCTGCAAGAGAATTTATGCAGGGAGCCAGAACAGGGACTTGGATAGATTCTTGGTCAAACTACTACAGTCACTCTTCTGTTATTAAGAGAAAATAAAGACAAAATATGACTCTAGAACTAAATACATATAGGTTTCTGCCCCGTATTTTGTCAGTATTTTGCTGTCTTCAGGAGGATAACTAGTCCTTTCCTCTGCAGTGCAGGGTGAGGTTGAGAAGCACCAGCCAGGCTGGCAGCATATAAGAGCTTTTCTGCCTGGCCTGCAGAAGAGCTTGGTTCCCATGTCACATAATTATACAGTGCACCCAAAAAAGGGACAAATTCTACTCCCTCACTTGCAAGAGCAGGTCTGAATAGTGAAGTCACTGAGAACAAATGGGATAAATTGAGCTCACTTGGAACTTTGTAATAAATAGCACAGTTTATACATGCTATAAATAAAAAACACTCCCATGCTTGTTGGTTGCCTCAGCTCTTAACTAGTCAACTAGTTAAAAAGTTTGATTTAGTGTCAGTTGATTTCCTAGCAATCTACACAGAATTATGAAATGCTGCTAGTTTATGCTTTTAACTGTGATTTATAGGGGCTGCAAGTACAAAGATGTAAATCCCAGAGGAGGCATCATACACTGTTGTGAAGATACTTGAAAGCAACTAATAAAACCAACAGTTATGTGGAATTTTTTACACTAAAACTTCATGAATTTCACTGCTGGCAAGCATAATGCAATACACTTCAAGGGAATCATTCTAATGACTTTGATCTGATTCTGATTTAACTGGAATTATTAGGCAAAGACTGGTATACCACTGCAAACATATTGATGAACAATTTCTGAAGACAATGAAAGACAAAAGCAAGACCTGAAGCATGAAACTAAAACCAATACTGATCCCTTCCAGCAAATCTGTGCCTGTTTTACAAGCCCACAGTTCTGCTGTCACCTGGGATGTCTGCTGTTGTTAGCCTTCCTTACCCTGCTCCCTAAAATAGTACAACAGGAAGAAAAAAAGACAGGAAGAGGAATTCCATCAAAGGAATGGAAAAGATTATTCCCATGTGATCACAGAATGAAGAAAGAGGCACTTCAAAGAAGGGACAAAACAAGAAGGTACATGATAAAAAGATGCCAAATAATGTGTTATAAAGAAGATATGAGTTATAGAAGTGAGCATTTCCATTCATCCTCACTCACGAAAAGGACAAAAGAATATAAAAAAATACTGGAAAACAGCATCAAAGGGCTTGAAAAGAACCTCTCTGAAAATTAGTTTTTGGAACACACAGTAATACCCAAGTTAAGACAGGAACAGAATTTTTAAAATAAGTAAGAACTTATATGTTTTTCAGGCACACCTGCACCTAAACTGAGCTAAAAGAGGATCTATACAGATGAGAGAGCAATCTCTGCCATTCCCAGCACAGACAGCTCAGTAACTGCACTGGAAAGCTCTTAGGGCAGCTCACTCCTAACTTGACCATTACTGGGTTTCTGTCACCTTGCTCTGAAATGCTTGGGAGCTCCCACTGTGGCAGGCCATAGAAAACACACATATCTGGTATTAGAAACAACATTTTCCTTCGGATAAGGTTGCTATTTAACATTGCCAGAGCCCTCCCAGTATCCATTACCTGGGTGGACAGTCCTTTTCGTAGCACTTCTTTTGTCGTCCTTTTGGCTGTGTTGCTGGGTCGCAGAAGGAGTTTTTGATCACTCCGCTTCCCTTGCGCATGCAGTGGGCAATCTGGCGTCGCACCCCTGCAAGAGGAGGACAGAAAAAAGGAAGAGTAATCCACATAGGCTGGGGCTGAGCTGCAGAAATCCTCTTACATGGGGAGGATTGGTGATGGTACTGCACATCCCAGAATACAGCAACAGCTGTGAAAGCCAGTTCTGCTGAGTGTCTGAGCTAAATCTGGTATGAGCATCCTTTAATCAAGCTGAAAAGGTGTTATGCAGAGCTCTTGTGGATCAGGTACCTCAAGCAACATATTAGAAAGCACTTTCCTTGCTCTTAATTTAGTAGTCAGCCTCAGAAAGAGCTCCTGTGGGCCCTGAAGCAGATTTAAAGGGCTGTGAGTGGTTTTTGGATTACTCACAGGTAAAAGGCAACATAGCAGCATCAGGCTATTCACAGCAAGGGCATTTTGGCTGATCTTTTCTTTGTACTTCTGGGAAGGCTGTTTAAGCAGAATACTGAAGTGTATCAGCAAAACTATAACCTTGTGACTCTTAATGCTGAATTCCACCTTTAAGAAGTCTTGGTACAAATCTTGACTAAAAATTATGATGCTGTAATATGAGGGAGAAAATATTCTGTTTTCTAAATAACTAATACACAGTAATCGTCACAAGAGGCAAAGCACAGAAATGACAAGAGACACAGAGACATCCCATACATACAATTTGGGTTATTTCCTAACACTTCCACTTACTAAAACTTCCACTTACTTAACAGAAGGGAACATGAACCAAAATACTGTGAATCTAAAGAAAGCCGGTTTCCAGGGGCTTGCCTTCCACAGAGTTTTGCAATAATCTGAGGTAGGTCCTGTGCTGCAAAACCAGTATAAAAAAAGCACTACAACATTACAGTTTTAAACATTGTAGCTAGACTGATACGGAGGCATTAAAATAGTAGCATTAGGCCCAAACAAATCCCAAGGACTAATAAAGACTGAAGAAACCTTGTTTATTAACTCTTGTTAAATTAACTATGCTATTAATTCACAGCACTTAATATGCAGATGGTAGGTCACTATATCTCCACGGCTTTTAGCCTTTTCCTGCAAAGCAAAAGGGCCTAATAGCACTGCTACTATGGTGTCAATGATAAGTGTTAGGCTACTTTGCAGTATGTTTAGGAATCAAGCTTTTCCTTGCCTCAGACCTCCTAATGAGGAAGGAAGATAAGAGCAGTAATCCATAGATAACAATACTTGGAAAATATGAAACTGTTCCTCTATACAACATATTTGTATGTTCCTCTATACAGCAATGTCTCCATATATGGCAATTATAAAGGGACTGCAACCCTGTGCTCCCTCTAACACACTTCACTGAGGCATTCATGCTCCATCGTACACGATGTGGATGGAAGTAGCTGCATGTTTCTCTGGCACTGCTGGCTGTGGCTCCCTCCAGTCACTCGGGGACTTCAAGCAGCAGAAAGCTTTTTGGCGCAGTGCAGGAAACAGATGAAAGATATAACTGGAATAGTTAGCAATCTTCCTGCTGGTTGTAAACAAAGCAGTTCACAGAAATACATTTCCGTCCCTTTCAAAATCATGATATGTTGCTGTTACAAATGCAAATAAGAGAACCTTTTTGCTTTGATAAATTTTTTAGTGTCATTTCAGCAGATGTAGTTCACTTTAAAACCACTAGAAACCCTTGCAAAAGTTTTGTTTTGAGGCTGTATATTCTCATAAAACATTAGCTGATCACTGCCATCAATAAACCAATTATTCACACAAACAATTTTTATTATGGAAGTTACATGAACTCTCACTGTAGTTTCAAAATCTGTAAGTTCTGGAATGGATGGATGTATTTAAAGAAGCCATAAATGCACACTTTTTTCATCATGACTATGTATTATTCATTGTCCAGGTTGGAAGGAATTCTATATGCATACATTTATACACACATACAATGACATAATGAAATACAGTTGTTTTCTTCAGCTTGAGCAAGTTGAAGTAGCAAACACTGCAAAAGTAGAAAACTACTTACCTCACACTGACTCTGCCCTATCATTTACCCATTTACATAACTGATATGTGTAATACCCTATTTAAGTCACAGATTAAAAATCCTAAATACACTTAAAAACTCAGCAAAATTTGATACCTGAACACTATTTCTATGGGGCTCTGCGAGGACAGTTTTTTTCCTCCTTTCATCTCTTTTATTTCTCACTGACCTCAGTGCTAACCAGTCCATGTTGACAACTGTTTTGCATTTGCGTAGATGCTGTTTGTATTCATCAGGACACTGTCTCTGTGGTCATAATCCCACTGCAAACATCTCGTTTTTTCCTCTGGAGTGGGGACATCCCACTCCTTTCTGCTCATCTCAGCACTCACTGCACTGTAGATATCACTACCATCACTTCATCATCTCCCTTGCTCTAAGACTCACTGGCAAGTAAAAGATAGAGTATGCTGAAACAGCCTTTCCCACACCCATGGTTCCTTATGCAGTAGTATACCCTCTCAGCTCTGTGAAAAAAACAACCAACCCTACAAATATTTATTGAAATAAAAGAGAATCCAAGAATGACATTAGCCAGATGAAAGCGTGGTGTTGATTTCTCTACATTTGCTCAGAGATTGTTTCTGCTTCTCTCTGCCACTTCATCCTTAATGCAGGACTTCTTAGATGGGAGGTTGAACCATTCAGCTCCTGATTTCTCACTTACTTTGCAAAAGAAGGTGCCAGTTTAAAATCATTTGAGTGTGGAAGGTTTTTTGAAACACAGATTACGAATCTGTCAGCTGAATAGCCCTCAGTTTGGGCAAAACGAGGGCTGAAAACAACAGAAATTAAGGACCAGAAGGAAACATACAAAATGTGTACGCAGAAAAGCATATTTGATTGTAAAACTAATTTGGACATGTAATTGTCACAGTTGTGCATCAAATCAAATCGTCTGCAAGGAGTTCACTTTGGTATTTGAATGAACAAATTATATTCAGTGCATGTGCATGTTATGTACAGAATACAAGAGGCAAGCTTTACATTCTTGGTGTCATAAAACTTAAACTCATAATAATGAAGGAAAATACAGCGAACTTTAAAAAAAAAAAATCCATGCTACATTTCAGTTCAGGAACACCTGGAGGTAATTTTGCTAAGTAGCTCTGATAACAGTTGTGAAGGATTTAGAGGGCACACAACAATTAACCCCCAAACAAATCATACAGTTAAGTCCTTTTGCAAAGCTTTGAAAATTGGCCAATTACTGGTGTTATCTATGGAAAAGTAAATTGTTGAAGTTGTCTAATAATCTCCCTTAGCTGCAGCTGTGCTGCACTTTGCTTCTTGTTGCGTTCAAAGCCACTCAAAGCTAGTTCTAAGAAACGTCATTAAAGCCTTCAGACAAGGATGAAGGATTTATACTTGTAATTTCTAATTGACCATTATTTAAAGAAAGAATAATGGGTAGTTGGTCTAGAAAAAAAAATAAAAACAACTCAGTGAGGCATTTAAATTAATCTTCCTATAAGAAAGCTTAGAGCTCTACATGCTGTCTGGACAGCAGGCTCTGGAGGGACAGGCTCCTAGCCAGATGGTGCAGCAGTTTGCAGGACACTGTCCAGTGTACACACATCCTGACTGCAAAGCAATTTCTTTCTGCATAAAGCAAATGGAAGAGAGAGATTCAAACTGTCCTGCAGTGAAGACAGAGCAAGGATTATGGTTCTTACTATAGACTACCTCCTTCAGCATTAGTTTGCATTGACATGGATTGCAATGTACTCTCTGAACTGTTTTCTACACTGCAAACAGTTATCAGGTATTGCAACGTGTTCTCCTTTTCCCTGCATGTAGTACGAGGTATGTTTGCTACAGAAAACACTGAGTTTTCAGACAGTACTTTTTCCCTGTTAAATGCCGTTATTGTAGGCTGGTCAGACCCACTCTTTGGGACTACAAAAGACACATAAGATACGTTTGTATCTTCTTTTCCTCAGTTGCGATGAAGCTGGGGAAGGATATGGGTAAGGGCATGGCATGGTGCTACCTTAAGGCCATTAATCTTTTGGAAAATATCTTCAGGGAGCTGCTCTGGGTTAATTCTGAGAAGGGACAGCTTCACTCAACAAAGATATTATTCATCATCGGCAATTTTTCCAGGTACATTTCCCTTGGATAAGGAGCTGTATCACAGGGCTAAAATCATAGTTTTTCTCCTAGAACAGATGAGGCTTTCCTGCAGCAGTCCATTCCCATGCCTGTAGCCCCATCTGTTACTCCCTAACTCAGCTTCACTCTCTTGGCTCCAGAAAGCATTTGTTTGCATTTCTCTGATCTCAGTGGTTAGAACAGTCCAAAGTGACCCTGGATTTACTGCTACCATACTGACTGGTCACGATAACAGACCCTATGCTGAATCTTCAGACAGGTCCAGGTTTGTCAAGACAAGGATCAATTTCTCCCACTGGCTATGGCTGTCGAAGTTCACCTTTCCTGGCCCTCCCTTTTAGCCTGAAAAACTAATCTTTTATTATTTACCAAATGATGACTACCAAAGTCCTTGAAGGTTATTTTACTACCACATTTAGCCTAAAAAAATGTAACTTTTCTTATCTACCTGGCACCCATTGTAGGCTTGTCTTCAGTAAGATTTATCAGACAGAATACTGATAGCAGAAGATGATCCTCTTACCTACTTCTATACACTTTATCTTAGAAACCTTTCAAAGCTCTTCAAATGCCTGAGATTTGTCACAACAGGTCTGTCACTGCCAATGGCAGTATACTGTGAATCTAAACGGAGCAAGTGTTCAGATAAAATCAATCTCAGCATTTAAAGTCAGGAGGAAGTTCTGTGGAAGTCTGGGTGTTGCATAATCCAGCAACATTGGGAACATTCAGTTCTGCATCTTTCTGCCTCCTGGTCCTGAACTGGCAGGGATCAAACCACAGAAATGTTTATCTGTGTGAGACTTTCTGGTTCTAGGTCAACAATTATGATCATGCCCATTCCCTGCCAGATGTAGCAGGACTTCAGAGTTTTCAAATTTCCACCACGATGGAGGGCTAACACTTTCCTAATACACACTGCTACTACACACTGGTTTTCGTGCTGCAGAGCTCCAGGGTTTTTTTCGGATGTGTTTGTGCTCTACTCATCTGGGCATAAACGTGCTATATTCCTGCACCAGTGTGGTGCTTAGGCGGGACAGCTAGCTCAGATTCTAACATGACAACAGCCTGTCTGGTCTATACTCAGACAGCCCAGAGCACAGCCAGATTAAGCATGGGGTAACTGGAGAAAACTGCAGACAGACTATTTATCAGAGCTCCACTGGTTCAAGTGGTTGTCCTGGTTCAAGTGGTTGTCCTGGTTTCACTGGGATAAAATCACAGAATCAGATTTTTATTCAGGAAAGATGCATTTCTGGAAAGACTACAATACTTGATTTAGTGGAAACAAAATTGTTGTAAAACTGTGTTTTAGTTTTTGGCCAACAGTGGTACACAGTGATCAAGGTCTTTCACAGTTTTGAGTTCACCAGATGCAGACACTGGGGGGAGCGAAAGCCAGGGCAGCTGACCCAAGCTGGCCAACAGAATTATTCCATACCATAAATGTCATGGTCACTATAAACTGGAGAGTTTGCTGAGGATGGTCATTTTTCCTAGATGGTCTCCATCACTGGAGGGTCTCATCAGTCCTTCTACACTTGAGGCCTACTCTCCCACTTGTGATGACCACTGTATCAGCTGAGTATAACTTTGTATACCTTATATATATTAATATAGCTATTAATACTGGGTTTTATTATTATTATTTTATCAAAACTGTTTCTATTTCAACTCACGGGTCTCCTTTCCTTTTCCCAGTTCCCCCCCCAGGTGGGGAGGAGTCATCAGGGGATAGAACAACTGTCTGAATGACCACAGAGACGCCATGAAGCTTTGTGTCAGTGTTTCCTTTTTTATTGGACAGGGAGTAAGCGACAATACCCTGCCTGCATCTTATATTAGCAGATTTCACCCTCCTTTACATACGTTCGTTTACTTTTATAAATGTATGCACCTAAGAGGAAAGATAGCAAAGAGACTATTAATTCCTTTTCTCCTGTCCATGAAGGAATGCAAAGAACTGGGAAGGCTTCTGTGCTCTTTTTGAACTGTAATACACCTCTTGGTTCCCCTGCAAACTCGTGTCAGGGAGTCCATAATCTTTCCTGAAACATACGATTTCTACTTATGCAAAGAAAACAGCAGGGAGCTCAAGAAATATTTATTAAAAGCCCAAAGACAGTAAACAGGGGAAGCCACTTATTAAATAAAATCTGAAAAAACCCCATATCCTGCAGTATTCTACTTAAGTAATCCATGAGGCAGTTAAAAATTGAAGCCAAGTTACACAGTTCTTCAGCCAGAAGGTAGTACACAGAGTTATAATTTACTTAGTGAGAAACAGTTCTGGGAAAAGTGCAGCTGATGTGGAAAAAAAAAACAACCAAACAAGAAACAAAACAACATAAACAGTCTAATAACACTCCCCACCCCCATTTTTGTTATCATGCCTATCGTTACATTAAACACTATTCACAACTAGGTAACAGAAGTAGAACATACAGAGTGCAACTAAGCAAAACACTTGTTTTGAGTACCTAATTTAAAAAAAGGGTTTTTTTCTGTCAAACAGAAAGCACATGGTGTTTTATGCTGAGAGACTTCTCAAAAAAACCTCTAAAAACAATCTACACAGATATTTGCACAAATACACAGATACAGATGGATGGATGTACAAACACCTCTGCAATATGTCCATTGCATCTATAAAAATAGGTTTTTTAATAATAGAATACTGAGGTGGGGTAATTTACACTATTCTTCCAATGGTCTTCCTTTAATCTTCTAAAATTAAGGTCATACAATCCTCTTTGCTCGAACCACTTAAAATGCATTATTTCAGTGTCTTCCCTGACAGAAAAGATTTTAAAATAATTACTCCTGCAATCATCACTGCTTCTAGACTCCCAACTGGATTTGTTACAACATTTGTTTGTCTTTTTCTTTCCTTCTGGAAAGTAGTTAAAGAATAATTATCAAAGAATAATTAAAGAATATTAAAGATTATTAAATATTAAAGAATAATTATCAAAAACCACCAACAAAACCCTAGTATTAGAAAGAGAAAAGGGTTATTTCTTATTTTATCCTGTGGCTGTAACAGTGATCTCTACTGTTCTGAACAGTTTTCACACAGACGGTCTAAGAACTAGTTTCTTATCGTATCTCCAAGGGTTTTCCTCTGTCCAGTCAAACTCAGGAACCAATTCAAGTGAAAAGCTGCAATCTCTTCCTCTCAAGTGCAGACTTCCTTTCACACACAACATTTTTCTTATACTTTAAAAATTATTTCCACAAATAATGGATTAAAACTCTTTACTTCTGTAAAGAAACTTTCAGTCCTTTTATCATGACCTTTGGTTTACTGCTAGCATTAACGTCAGGTGATTGAACTGTTAAGTACTGTAAAGAAAGTTTTCCTGCCAACGTTTTCTGTTACCAAAGGCAAACCTCTAAGTGTGTTGTTAGATTGTACCTCATGGTTGTCATTCTGCTTGTCTGGTTTAACATGCTGCACAGAACTACAGTATAACTTCAGCTGATGCCAAGCCCTTGTACTGAGAGGGGCAGAGATACAAGTTCTCAAGACTGATTTAAATAAGTAATTAATAAGAAATGCACAACAAGCATCATTGCTTATCAAGGCAGGACAGAAATGAAGAATATTTTTTGTTGTTAACATATTGGAAAGATTCAGCAGGGAAACAAGAGTAGGTCACAAATTAGCATTGCTGGGAAACAGGGTTACTGTGAATAATATTAACAACAAATTATGAGGAAAAGAAAAATAATTTTTCATTTTGGTTCACAGAGGTTGGGAATTGCAGGGCAGGTGTTACAGAAACCTATTTCCCTTAAATGATTTAATAACATTCTATTTTAAAAACAAAATACATTATTATATCCATGTGACCTGCCTTCCCACCAAATGGAGATTAAAGAACCTTATCTCTTTGAGAACGCCGTCTGGATAATGTAGAAGTAAAGATGAGACTTGCCAGTAACGAAGACAAACAGTAACAGAAAAAGGAAGTCAGGAATTACCTCTTCCACAGGTAACACTGCAGGCTGTCCAGTCTCCATACTGCCAGAAATACTCTGGCTCTCCTATCTCATTCTCATGACTTTCTTCTTTACGTACAGTATATTCATACTTGATTCCAGGGTTAGTTTCTTGAAAAAGCAGCTGGAAAAAGAGTGTGATTTATTTAAGTACTTATGATTTTAATAATCTACTGGCCCAAAGCTTTCAAAGTGTGAAAACAGAAGAATTGGCAAGGTTTAAAGTAGCCCATTCTGGAGCCAACTACCAGTTCAGCAAAGTAGACCAGCAAAACTTTCACTTTTGCACTGACAGTAGTGCACATGTGTATCTTTCTGAACACAGCTGTTCGCCATGCACTTTTGCAAGCACAGCTGGAAGTAAGTGGGACAGCACAACTGGTATCCTATTGATTGTAAGAACAGATAATACTAAGCCCATCCAAGGCACTGTCAAATATACTGCTGATTAAGAGCTACTGTCTATCACCATTATAAATTATAATGTCCCTACCCATACGAAATAGCTGTTACAAAACAACCAGTACATCAGAAAATTGCAGTCTTTATTCAGAGAACTGCTTTAATATTATTTTTCAGCGTTTCTGGATTAAGAAGGAAAATTTCAATTGAGAAGAGCTACTCAAGAAATTTACTGTTTGGCTGATGAGAGGGAGAAAAAAAAAATACCATCAAGGGATAAAAGCCTTCAGCAATGAACTTCTACTCTTCCTCCTATTTGTTACCTTGACCTTGTTTCTGACAGTGAAGGTTGTGCACCCATTAGATGTGCCTTCTCACCAGACATTCAAAATGTGAAAGTGGCTCCTAATACTTCTTTTAATATCATGGTGGATACACAGGGAAACAAGACAGGAAAGATACATTCAGAGAACAAAGGGGCAGCTTAAAAGTATTTTTGCAGGATTAACAGAAGCTGATTATGTTTAAGTTAGAACCTATAAAAGAAACAAACGGGAGCAACTTCAGTGGATGCTAAATGGATCCATTTCACTTACCATAAGCTATTAATCCATCTATCTAATGCTGTATTTTCTTGTTCAACTTAAGCTGTCACTGCTATCAGCCTTCCCTAGCTCTCACTCTTCACAGCTTGACATCAGCTCTTTTTTTGTGATAAAGTTACTTTTCATTTGGGTCTAGTTCACATCACAGCCATGTGTTGGTCTAAGCTAGCACAAGGGACAGGGAAGTTTAGGCAAAGGACTGACCAACCACAGGTGGACGGATCCCTGTCATAGTGGCAGCACTGGATTATACCAGACTTTGATAATCATCGGACTGTAACACTGGACAACTATTTTGAGGCAGGATGAACAACCCTCTCAAGCAGCTTGTTTGTTTCTCTCCAAAAGAGCTCAACTGCTCTTTGCAAGACAGCATGCTACAGTGGCTTACATACAAATACATGTATTTTTCCAGCCTCAGTTTCAGAGTGCCAGCACATTCTGCTGCCATCCAAACCCAGCAGGTTCTGCTAGGCATCTCCTATTTACCTGAATCCATATTGATTCATTGGTGGGTCCTGGAGCAGTCAGATTTTCTAGATCCCCTGTTCTGTCATACTGAAATACTGTTCCTGCCACTTTGTATTCACCATTCCACTGGATGATAAAGCCTCCATTCAGGTAATATTTTTCTGGGTCTTTGCTTCGCACAGCAAGGAAATTTCCTGCTTCTGCAACTTCCATGACTTTGATTCCTCTTGCACCTTTCGGAATCAGCCCAATATCAACGTATCCTAACAAACAAGAAAGTTCACGTAGATGAACAACAAACATGTAATTGCATTTTACTTATGCATAAGATTATTAAAATACCAGCTTTGCTTGAAAATTTCTATAAATGTGCTATCATAGAGCTTGTATTTCAGACAGTTAATAGTGCAGCTTTCCAAACTAGGTATTCCAGCATCAGTTGGGGAATACAAATATTGTATTGTGGCATTTAGAAAGGATATGGATGCTTTTCTGAGCTGCACCAGGAGAAATCTACTCCACAGATGAGCATCAGCATCTCCATAACCACACCCAAGGGCTCTGGCATACTGCAACGACAGCACTCTAGAGAAATGCCAGGGATTCCCAGCAAGTTAACAGCCTGCTGTGGGAAAGGTCTTCCCAATATGCAAGGAAAGTTATCACTTGTCACCAGTCTACATGTAGGTACATAATTCAATTTACCTTTTCTTAAGTCACCACAGCTGTTTCCCATAGATAGCCTTGCTACACAAAACTGAATGTCATTCAAATGCCTCAAGTTACTATGATCAGCTAAACAGATTTTATGAACTACTTATGTTCATAAAGAAGTTCAACAGCTCTTCATGTATAAAGTTATCTGTAAAAAGATATTTTTGGTATGTGTGTTAAGAAGGAACCCGGAGCAGCTATTACAGAATTCTGTTTGTACCACAGGCAACATATGACATCAAGCTCCATGCTTCTTACCTTACATGGAACTGCCATTGCTACTGAATAAAAACTGTAAAAATAGAAAGTTTACATAAAAATTTGAACACAAACTCAGATAGCTTTCTTGCTATTGCTCCTGACTGGGCTTCAGAAATTGAGTAGATGACAGCTCTACAAGCAGGTGTCCTGGGAGCGTGAGCTGCAGTTTCTGCAGGTTTATTTCAAGACTGGAATCCGTGTGGTTCCTCAGTTCACACACTGCTGAGGTCATGAATTAAATTCTGAGATTCACATCCCACTCCACTTTCTTATGAAATTTGCTTATCACTTTTGATTACTCATCCACATGAGCTCTGGGCATAGTCAAGCACTGGGCGTACTAAGTGGTCTTCAGTATCATCTCCACCTACCAGAAGTACTTACATGCTGTACAACAAGCTATTGTCATAAATAAGCGCCCCAAAGTCTTTAATTTTCTTAACAGCTTTCTCTTGGGGTGGTAAGAATTGGTTCTAATGTCTTATGTTTCTCATGGTACAAAAAAGGCATCTGATTACTTCAGGCCCTTCTAAAATAAATGCCATATCTTTTTCCTGTTGTGCTGGTTTTGGCTGGGAGAGAGTTAATCTTCTTCATAGTAGTTAGTATGGGGTTATGTTTTGGATTTCTGCTGAAAACAGTGTCGATAACTCAGAGATGTTTTTGTCATTGCTAAGCGGTGCTTACACAGCAAGTCCTTTTCTGGTTCCTCACACCACCTCCAAAATGAGGAAGCTGAGAGTCCACAAGTAGCTGGGAGGGGACACAGCTGGGACAGCTGAACCCAACTGACCAAAGGGATATTTCATACTACATGGGATCATGCTCAGCATATAAAGGAGGGGGAAGAGGAAGGGGAGGACATTCCAAGTGATGATGTTCATCTTCCCAAATAACTACTAGGCACAATGGACCCCTGCTTTCCTGGAGATGGCTCAACATCTGCCTGTCAATGGGAAGCAGTGAATGAATTCCTTATTTTTATTTGCTTGCTTGCACAGCTTTTGCTTTACCTGTTAAACTGTCTTTATCTATACCCATGAGCTTTCTCACTTCTGCCCTTCCGATTCTCTCCCCCATCTCACCAGGCGGGAGTTATTGAGCAGCTGTGTGGTGCTCAGTTGCTAGCTGGGGTTAAACCATGACCCCCGTGAATAACATTCAGCAGGGAGAGTTTTCCAGTTTTTGCAAGTTTCCTAGACTTGTGGAAATTCAATCTTTTCAGTTTTTCATAAGTGAAAGGAATAACAAAATCTGGAGGAATACTGAATAACTTCCATTAAAGGAAACCAGCAGTGTAGGTCTATTGTCAGTAACCAACGTCTAATGATTCTCCCAAATGTCCTATTCATTCAGTGTAGAAGAGATGTGTTACGAACACAGTGTGTGACCGTGTAACTAAAGACTTGATTAGAAGGCATACTCACAAGTGGGCCAAATTAACACAGCATGGAAAATCTTAATTGTGTCACGTTTTGAGAGCTTGGCTTTGAAACCTTGGTGTCCTTTTCCAGTAGTTTTTTTTCCAGATGTAATTAGAGTAAGATTTCTTCAAAATGTAAAGTATGAAAGTAATAAAACACAATATTCTTTCTGTTGTAACATAGAAATCTCTATCCTCTCAAGTTTTTGAATAATTATTTGTCTGTATCATCTGCTGTTGTTCATAAAACTGATTTTAAACGTCTGGCAACTGTCTGGTAATAGATGTTACCACTTGGGCAATGTATCATATTACCTTTCCCCTGGCCCTCCTTTTTTTGAATAGCTAAATTACCTCCTGATTTCCCAGAACCTCACACTAATTCCCCATGAATGTTATCTGCTTTTGAAAGCAAAGCTAATCAGCAGCGAGCTTTTGAGTTTGTCACTCAACATAATAAATTTTGTTTAAAAATGATGTGGTTGGTGTTTATATAATTGTTCCTGGTTATATGGTTTCATCTGATAAGGAACTAGAGATCCGAGATTCAATAACAGTCAAAATATCAGCTGCCTTGCCTACATGCTGTGTTCATTAAATCCTGGAGCATTCATATTATGGGTGCTCTCACACACCTGTGAAGTGGCAACTCGCAGATGCTATTAATCTTTCCCTTTTTAATTAAAATGAAATCTATATTCTCCTAAACATAGATGAGAGTATAACATGAATAAATTCATGTAACCCCTGTTGTAGGCACAGTTCTACCAGGACTGAAGAGCTTGTTTCTATTTTCCCGTTGCTGTAAGTAAGAAGTAGTTTCACTGAGGTCATTAGCACAGTATTCCAGCTCAGATGATTATGAGATCTACCTGTTTCTCCTTACCACAATAGCTCACACCCCACTCTCCAGTTTGTCATATCTGTGAGAAACTCTCAAAAATGCACGTTCCTGACACATGACTCTCCTCTGCGCCAGGCTCTAGGCACTACCACAGGAATACTATGTGGAAAACAGCACAGGCCCCTGGTGGCATATTGGGTTTGCAAGTCAAGGTATGATTGCATACAGCCTTGCCATGGAACAGGGGGAGCACTGCAGTGAGTAATGGTAATGGGAAAAAACCTGTAGTCCAGAGACAGTCTCCTGAGCAAGGATTAAGGAGACCTTCCAGGCTCTCAGATCTGCATTTGTATCATGGCTATGTCCAGACTCCATCTTGAGGCCTTGAGGTCAGGTTCAGGCACATACCAGATCTGTCTGCACTTTGACTGTGTGAAAAGGAAACATGGGTAGCAAGGAGACCATGGCATGTGTTGATTCAGTCCCACCCAAGCTGATCATCAATACTCCATGAGGGTCAATACTGAGAGGGTTGTCAGAGGCTGGAACAGGCTGCCCAGGGAGGTGGTGGAGTCACCATCCCTGGATGTATTTAAAGAGCGGGTAGACGAGGTACTTACGGATATGGTTTAGGGGGTAGACAGGAACAGTTGGACATGATGATCTCAGAGGACTTTTCCAACCGAGCGATTCTGTGATTCTGTGATTCCACCACTTCCCAGGCAGATCCCTCTGTCTGATCCCCACAACCTCATTCCCCACTTTTGTTATCCATTTACTCCACTCTCCACTCACTTCCCACAGTTCCAAACCTCTGTTCCTTGTGCCTCAGTCTTTCTTTTACCCAACACTTCTCTGCATTCAGCAGTGCAATTTATTCTCCTTCCAAATGAGCTGTCACACATTGCAAATGTTCTGCTGCACACAATAATACTCCTTTACAGCCATCACAACAACATGGATAAAAACAGGGATTTCCCCTTTTAAATACTCTACCTTAAAATAAAAGAAGACTTCTAGCTTAACAACAGGAGAGCTTGTAACTTCTTTGCCCAGGCCTAGACCTTGCTTTTCAATGCCCTGCTCATGTTGCAACCTTTCTGCTGTAAAAGTTCAGCTGAAGCAACTGAAATGATTTCCAAATGAAACTCCTGAAAACAAAGTGCAGATCAAGCACTTGCTAATACTAGTGTCAACAGCTGAGAGCACCTCTGTGTATCAGACCTCTGATGTGTTTTCCATCAAGAAACTCCAATGGAATCCATTACACAGATGAAGCTGTCATTCTTGCATCTGTGTTGGGTGCACCTGGACTACTATTCCCATTTTGCATCCACAGGAAAGGCAAATAATTTAAAAAAAAATCCAATTAATAATACAAATTTAAAACTTTTCTATCTGAACATGAAAAGGTAAGACTGCAGGTAAAACTGATCACCCTGCTCTGTAATGAAATACTTGAAACTCTTTCCTATGATTTCAATGGTCTGACCTGGCAACTTAGTCAAACTGCAGGCACAATACATACTGCTGCAGCACCAGACCCAAGATAGGCCCTGCTGGACTTAGATTCTGAAGAAAGCTTTATGTCAAAATAGATTAGCTTTGATTTTGTACTTCTCTGTGCCATTAAACATAGAAAAAACTCCTCAAATCTTCCTTGTCAGTGACTGGCAGCATGCTTTAGTCCAGCTTTGTTACTTATACTGAATTTATGAGCCTGAAGACTTCGTTGACTGAAGTAGCCTGAAGACTACATGAACTGTTCAGTAGTCACTCTGCCATAAATCTGTACTGCAAGACAGAAAATCACAGTGTGTGTCTAACACAAAAAGAAGCCAGATATTGTGAACAAAACCATTTTCTTGTTCTCAGTTTAACACCTATGCACATCAGTGAGATCCATACATTGTCTTAAAGGCTGAAAAGCCCAACAAATTCTACCTTTCCTGATGCTTTATATTTTCTGCAACTGAGTCAACATCTGCAGAAGGGAAAGAATCTGCAGAATTAATTCATTGTTTAGTGATTTCAAGGAAAGCAATGAAATAATTTTACTTAACGCTCAATATCCCTTAGCAGTATCTGTCAGTGAGGCTTACTGAATCTTAGGTGAAGATAAAACACAAAATGAATTTAAATAAAATAAGAGGCACTTATTCTCACATGTGTTACAGTAGGGAACTTTTTTAGTAAAACTGTTATTTCAAAATAAACTTAACATCATTTGCAGCTTTGGGAAACCCACACAGTCAAAAGAGGAGTGAATTTTAGAGCAGCAGAAGCAAAAGATCAGAGGATGGAAGATTACTGTAGTATTGGAGGAAAGGGAGCCCTAGATTTTCCTTTGTATGTCTCCTATACATATAGAATCTGCACTGCTGCATGGCTGGAGGCATCTTCACAGTTCACCTGTGAGATATGGAGGGGAGGGAAGCAAATCCAAGATAAAAACCTGAAATATTATAAGTGCTTTCCCCCAGACTTTGGAAAATCTTATCAAACCAACTCTAAATCATTAGCAAAAATAATACTTGTGCAAATCACAATTACTTTACAAAAATAAACCAATAAAACCCAAAAGCTGGCCAAAACCACTTGTTTTTCCCTCCTCACTATCATGATATTGATTACTACTGCTCTTGAGACTTCTCACGTCTGCACCAGCCTCACTCTTCAGGTACAGACCCTGCTCTAAGCACAATGTCCACTGCCCCGTATTCTTACCTCTCACCCTCCTGTGCTGGTTTTCCATTCAAAGCTGTTCATCCTGGCTGTCTCTTACATCTCCAACTCACTGTCATGGCTCTCACCCAGTTTTAGTCTCCTACTTACTCTTCTAGATACTTTGGCTACCATTCATCCCATGTGAGGCAACTTAAAGCCTGAATGTCTCACTGCAATCAGTGAAGACAGACTCAGTCCTCCAGGTGCTGATTCAGACCACCTTAACCCTGCAGGGAGTTACTGTTCTCTCCTTCCAAGCCTGAAGCAACCTACAGAAAATTTCAGAGCAACCAGAAGTGCAAAGTTCTGCATGAGGAAGATGTGGTCACCAAAGCGAATGGTATCACTCTCATTACACTTAGAAATGAATTCCCAAACCACTCACACCAGCATTTTCTTGGGGCTTTACCTATCCAGAGATTTGGTCCTGATTTTCCAAGGTAGTAAATAACATTACTTTTGTAAATGCACTTGCTATTTTGTGGTTTATTATTATCTGCATAACTTGCATAGAGTCTGTTTGTCTCTGACATAATTTTTATTAGATAAGGTGAACTTTAAAAGCACAGACCACAGACCTTTTCTGGGACAAGCATGATTCACTGTGAAACATCCATTTACAATTTCCTATGCAGATTGATCACTCAGTTAGCAATGAGAAGGGCTTAAGCCTTTTCATGTAGAGAAATGACTTCACCAACTGAAGAGTTCAAAAAAAGAACTCATTTTACCAAATCCTTCACTTTGATTAAACATCATCTTCACTGTACGACAAGCAGAGCCGTCTCCCAGGCAAACTCCACATTGGTCTTCAGTTGCGTTGGAGTTTATCTCATAATCACAGCCAACAGTCTAGAAAGAAAAACAGTATCAGAATAAATGTGGTCAAATACTCAATGAAATACTCAAAATCCCTTATCACTGCCCTCAGTGTACTTTGCTCTTCCAAGAAGGGAGAGGATAAATTTTGGAAGAGTATATATCCTGTATAAACAAACTAAGAATAAAGATAGTTATATGTAGTTCAAACTTGTGTATTAATATGAAGGTTAAAAAAAAAACCCCAAACCACTACCATGTAATGAAACACACAGTAGCAATCAGAGAGTTATCTGAGATGGAAATGTGCCACCCAAATGGCCTCAACACCTAGGACAGGCCAATACATCCAGGATTTGTGCTCACTGGCTTATGACATGGAAACAACCATGGATTTTCAGGAATACAACCCAGTAACAGAGCTGAAATCTCAGTCAGACAGTGCAGGACGGCTACTGCAAACAAGCTCTCTCTTCAGCAGGCACCAAGTTTTACACCCATGACAGCTTCTTCTCCAGCGTGCCCACACAGGGAAATGGGTCAAAGAAAAAGTTCCAGTAAAGACTGATTTTTCAGTTCAAGCTTGCCACAGGGAGAAAGTGAGTGAAAAAAATATTTGGGTCAGGACAAAATTTCCTCCTTGCAAAACCAAAAAAATTCCATGCACTAGTTCCTTTAAACATCAACAAAGTCTTAATTTAGTTTTGGGATGTTTTTTGCCTCTCTAAAACCTAGCAAGGTTGCAGAACACAACCTAATGTCCAGCACTTAATGGTTGTTAACAGTACCCAAGACATCTGGAGGTCTGTGATTTACACGAATAGCTGTAAGTCTGGTGGTATGTAAAGTTCTTCTCAGCTGATTTTTCTCAAAATAAGCTTTCAGGTGCAAAATCTGCCAACTTCTCTAACACTCTATTGATGTATGAAAATCTGGAAATACCTTCTTTTGATTCTGATCTTACTTTACTTTCAGCACAGTGGTAACTGAAGTCCTCTGTAAGCTTCTGATAGGAAAATTCATCTATTATACTAATCTAAGTATAAAGACTCCTTCATTCTCTAATATTTTTCTGTCATATTCAGCTCAAGAAACACCAAACTTTTCCTCTGTGTGCCAGTGAACAGCTAGAGAAGCTGCAAAAATGGAAGCAAGGAAAGGCCTTAAGTCATAGACTACGTTAAACCCTGTTTTTACAGAGGGTTCAAATAAGACTCATGTCTTAATGTCAGCACTTTTGATACCTGAAAAACAATGGCAATGCCAGAAGGTTCTGCAGCAGCCTCAGCTCCTCTCTTATTTCAGAGAAGGCTACTTTCAAAAAAGGGTAAGTTTTGTAAGGCTTTTCACACAGACATATCTCAGCCCAAAGGACCACATTTATGAGCAGTATAGAATGTCACAGAGATAAGCACTTGCTCAGAAGGTTCGTGACTAGATTTTTGGCTCCAAGCACATAGCTATTCGATCAAGGATGTATTTAATAATGTATTCAAAGTACACAGATGCCTGCGGTAAGTGTAGGATGATTCTTTATCTTGCCAAGAGTTCAGACCTGACTCTCCACTGTTAGCAAAGGATGCACTGCAGCTTATATTTAACACTTCCTAAGAATTTAAAGAGGTAGGTCTGTAGCTATTTTCTTAAAGTAGGCATTCTGTAGTACATTTGTTAATCATCTACAAACACTTAGTAAAGTAATTGTTGCCAGGTTTATTATTAAACCAGAGCAGCCCCTCTAGGTTCTTCTCCAAGTTGAAGTCTATTTTCTATTCTATGCATGTATTCATTATTAAACAGAAAGCTGGGGAGAAAATGTTTCAGGCTGACAGAAATTTGTCATTGCAATTTTGACTTTTTAGATCCTACAATAAAAAAAATATTTTTAAAAACTATGAAAAGGAAAATTTGGAAATGGAACCTTTCCACTTTGTGTTTTGCTATTATGAAATATTATTAACGGGTGTTTTGGAGCTTCTCTTTTGAACTTTTTTTTTTTTTAAAGAGATGTCTTCAAATTGCATGATTTTTGCCAAATTAATTCTTCAAAAGGTTTCTGTTCATCTTTATTTACTGTTCATGATTGAGTGGTTACACCCAGAAATAACTTAACTAGTTCAAGCTATCAATTCAACATTTTGAAATTAGTATCACTGACCATGTTTCCCTTGTGAGTACTGCGTAGCGTTAAATCCTCAAACACTGAACAAATCAGTTCCAAACTACTGCAGCACCACAGGATCATTGCTTTTCTGCCTCCTTGTGGAGTCTCTGTATGAGTTGTACTCTGTATCAGCTCAGTCAGAACATTTCCCACTTCATCAGACATCTCCCCCAGCAACATGGGATCAAAATATGACATTACTATGACAAGAAGGGACTCCCTTTAACACTTCCAGTTATAACCATAGAAGCATTTTGTTTTTCCTCTGATATGTGAAACATAGTTTGTATATCATCAGACATCACAGTCCTACCTGTACACGTGGCACGGTGTGGTACAGGGATCGCCAAGAATGAGGCACTGCAGGCAGGGCAGCCAATTTACTGTATCACAGTAAACAGAGCCTTCATCTTATTCTCTAGCTCTGGGGTGCTGCTGGTGATGCAATGGCCTTGATATCTGGCAACAGGTCATCATCTTGCGAGGCCATTAATGACCATCGCGAAGTGTACATTCTCATGCGTCACAGTAAACAGTTCCAGCATTCATTCCAAATACATTTACAATAACTTCCATTTCCAGGGTATATTTTACTTTCCCGCTCCAGTGACTATCACATTATTTTTGTCATTCATTAGATTAATTTCTATATGCTTCCTCTTCCATTTTACTTGCTTTCCTCATTCTTCTGATTCTTTTAGATAGCTATATTTTCTAAAACTGCCTTAAATAATGTGCCTCAACTTTCTGCCAAATTGCCTGTTAAGAAGGATCTGGAGACTAAATGTAGGTTATTAAAACAAGAAAAACATTAGCAGCAATTAGGCTCTGATTCTTTTGCAAACATATATCCTTGTGCACACTCTGCCAGTGAAACACACTGTGCTACAACAGCCACAGTGTGCAATAGCATGTGCACTGCAAATTAGCGTCATCCCATAACACCCTTTGCCACTGCGCTCTTCACCAAGAGCCTTCTTGAGGCATCTGAGACTATCTTTATTACTGGTCCCACCACACAGCCTGGAGACAGAAATAATGACTTGAATTGCCTGGCTGCATACAGGAAGGAGAAACAATTTCCTGCTGCTCAGTGACTCAAGGGAAAACAGCCAGAGACATTACCCTTTTGCCACTTCCAGGAGAGACTTTTGTGTCAGATGGGCACTGGGAGGCAGATACAAAAAGTTCTTAGATGTACTGCCTGAATATCAAAGTTACATGGATGTTACATTGTGCTTTTAAGTTCTTCCTTCTGCTCATCTCCCCCACTGCTCTCCAAATAAAGAAACGTTCATGTCATGTTGGCCATGACATTGCCTTGAATAGGGAGAAATGTGTCTCGACGTGCCTATTTCTCTTATAATTTGTCAGGATGGGGCTGAATCAGTGTTCAGTTGGGCTAGCAGTGGGAGGAGGAGAATGAACCATAGTGAGTGGTAGTGTAGCTACTACAAAAGCAGATGAGTAATCTGCTTTTTAGCATGAGAAAAAACCACTTTCCTCCCTGGTACTACACAGCTGTGTAATTCTCCAATGCAACCTTAGCCTCTCAACATAACAATTGTGGATTGCCACAAAAACAGCTCACAGATTTGCATGACTGAAGGTCATTTAAGCCTATTAAAATTCTGATCAGGAAATGCATGCCTGTTAGAAAAAGCACAGATGCCAGGTCCTCCACCCCCAGCACATACACCACTTAAGCCTTCACTTTCAGATGATAACATGGCTTGTATTTAACCACACTCCTCAGTCTTGCATGTATCACTGCTCAACAAACATACTCTTGCGGCTGTATCTTTGCTTATTAATACCAGGGGAGTAACTGACTGCTCTAGTGAGAACTAGAGTCAACTTATGGTGTATTATTTCAAACACAGGAAGATAGGATATGTGCTTTTAAGATCTTCTAAATAAAAAGAAAAGTTACACCCAAATGATGTGTGTGGAGGAATATGGTTAAATAGAAATCCAGTTGTGATGTATCTTGATGGTTTTAGATAAAATTACTGACAAATCTTGTTGACTCTCCCCAATCTGAGCTGTTTGTAAGTCAGACATGATGACAGGAGTGGGTCTAATAATATATCTGAAGGAAGGCCAGGCTAAGTGCAGAGAGGACTGCATATCTCATCCCCTTATTAGCAATACCTCGAAAAAGCCCATGTTTGCAACTGCAGCTTTGAGATCACCCTTTGCAGTCACTGGTTCCAGCACTGAGTGATCTGATGGTATTACACGTGTTTAGGGAACTCCTGTGTAAAGCATAAAGCAGAGAGAGGACTCAGCTATTTTATATGCAAGGTCCCCAAACGAATTAACAATTCTAGTTTCTCTTTGAACTGATAAGGCAAGTTCTAAAGGAACACCAGGCCAACACCTCACTGGTAAGACTTCCTTCTGCACTGAGGCAAAGACAGCACTTCCAAAAACTTAGGAGCCATGTATTGGATAAATTGCAACGAGCCAAGTGATTCAGCACTAGTGTCTGTTCTTACTTCCCACTTGAAGATGTACATTATGGTTTTGCCAGGGTGGCTAGGAAAGCACCAAGGGAGCTAAAACCCACATAGAGCCACTTAGGTAAGACCAGTTTCTCTGGTTGTTCTGAACAAAACTATGGAAAACTGGAAAACCAGACTGAAATCAGCTGAAGTTAGGAGATTAAATTCTTAATTGAACCTGAGTCGACCTATCTTTGTTTTGACATATTCACTAGGAAAGCTCTGAACTTGGTTGTTAAACAAGAGCTACTCTGCACACCAAACAGATGTGAGTGATATGAACAGTGGTTCTAATGTACAACATCTCTCAATTTTAATTCTATACTCAATTTCAGATATAAGTGAAGTGTTATTTTAGTAGTCAGAACAAACATGAAGTGCTTTTGTGATACAGAGTGCTGAAAACCAGAACAACGCTTTAATAGAGACTACCATTAATGTCTGCGAACTTCTTTTTCACACTGTTAGCAACACATTGCTATTAAAGTACAAGAATGATCTACAAGACTAATTATGTTAAATGCATTTCCAGATTTATTCACCATGGCCTGTAATGTATGTATTGTGTTTACCTAGCTGAACTAAAATATTAGTGAATTATATGGAGATGCTTGAAAAAGATTCTCCTCAAGTGCTATGTTGGGTACCTTTTTCAGATAAAAACAGTCTTTCAGAAATGTGAGCTATCTGGGTTGCCTATTCATCACTTGCTCTCATTTATGGCAGTTGCATGATTAAATTGGTCACTCTGACCAAATTGGTCATTCTGACTCCAACTAAATCTGTTTCTTAGAAGATGTGAAGCAGTAGTCAACATGTGAAGTACTGACAAAACTGTATTTATGGTAGCATCAGTACCTGGGAGGAAATCTTTTTAAAAGGCATTGAGACCCCAGGACTATTTATGCTACAGTATATCTAGTATCTACAAACTGTAATTAGAATTATCTTTCAACTCTGATCTATCACTTCTGAGGAATTAAGTTTTGCCATTTCTAAAATAGGTATAAACTTGAACTGTCACAGGCAAAGTTCAATACAGAAAGCATTGGAAGCTCAAATTAACGAGAGTAACTCCAGTTCATTTGGTCTGGAAATAAGAAAATGAAAGCATAACATCACAAAGACAACCTTCCGAGTTCAGCACTTGGCCTCTTCTGAAGGAAGGCCAAAAGCACTGATGTGGTATGCAACATCTACTACACACTTCAATATACTAAAGATTCGTTTCCAGCTGGCTTGAACTGTTCATGGCGAGGTGTCTTTCATCACCACAGCTACAAGGCCCATCTTAGGTCTCAGTCTCCCTCTCTTCACTGTAAGTCTGAGCAGGACCTCAGTAAGCCTCTTTCACAAATGCATGTCATGCAGGTAAAGCTTAAAACAAATCTTTTGTTGCTGTTCTGTGAGGTGCTAGCATTGTACTAAAACACAAAGTCTCCAAAGAGGATATACCAATCACCTATTACAAATGTTGAGTTTCCATCACTGTAAGTCTTAAGAAAAGAATGTGAAAAATTACAAAAAAGGAATAAGGTTCTGTAAAGGGATGAACAGATGACTTCTTGAAGTTCCTTCTCCCTGCATTTTTATATATACAATCCCAGGCTCCCTACAGTAAGCTAATACAGTTTCTACATGACACCAAGTCCTGCTTTTGTTTCCAAAGACATTAAAAACAAAAAGACTACCAGACTTCAAGGAGATACAGGACGCAAATGCCCAGTTTTAAGAAATAAACTGTAGCTGTAACATGTCTTTTACAAGTAAAGTACTGCAAGTAAAGTATTTATGAGAAATTCACTAAAAGCAATGCTGTGACTGTGGGTATTACAGTGTTTAGGCAACACACCTTCAAATGCTGCGAACAAACACAATATGCTGGAAACCTACTATCAACATACAGAATAGGCAGAGAACCTTATACTTACTCTTCAATAAACAGAACATTATCGAATCATGTACTCTGTGTTTGCCCATTGTACAGCATTATTTACCGTTTTAAACCAAATTAATTTTTACTGTCTTCAAGTGCAAATGTCTGATCCTATTACAAGTCAGTTCAGAACTACATAATGTGTAATGTTAAACAGTATTTTCATAATAAAAACACAAAAAAGTGGTGACAGCAATTACAACCCCAAAGCTATAACCCTTTGTGAAAACATTTTATCAAAAAGACACAGAATTTCTTAAACAGATACTTTAAAGTAATGGAAGAGGAGGAGAAGAGTTCAAAGGTACCAAAGTAATTAGCACTTAGTCTAATGGATTTATTAAAAGGGATAGAAATTACTCTTCTGTCTACTTAGAAAAGCTGTTTCTATTAACTTGTTTCCATGACCTTTAAAAATGTGATGAAATGGAGTAACTGAGCTTGACCCTCAAAAAACTTCTGTTAAACATTTTCCCATAATGTTATGAAATAAAATTGTAGAGAAAGAAACATGCAAACATACCCAATACCTTACACATGCCATTAATACAGATATCTCTGCTGTGCCTTCCTTCAAAGCAAGGAGTACCATCAGTGACTGCATCAAGCATCTTCTCTGAAAAATGGCCATCTATTGGGCGACAGTGGAGCTCACAGGGGTTTGCTGAAAGGAGAACAAAGATACTTTCTC